TAAAAGGTTGGGAAAATTTCAGGTTAGTACCCTTAATTTTAAGGGTAGTATTAATTTAGTACCCAAACTTTTAAATGGTCTCATTGAAATGCCTAAACTTCCAAAAACTATTAATTTATTCTCTACATTTAAATTTTTTAAAAATATCAAAATTATCCTTAAAAAAAATATATGTTCATTGTTCATGAACAATGTTTCCATCCTCGTATTTGCTTACTTCACCGCTCTTTATTGCTCAGTAATCTACAACTTTTCCCCATCTGCTTTCCGTCGGATTTGCCGACAACTTTCTGCGAACTCCGGCCACTGTTTACTTGTTACAGCAGCCAGTAATTAAAATTCCAGCGTTCCCGGACAGAACCAACGAAGTCAAACCAAACAGCCACCCCACTGATTCACAGAGAGTCGATGGCAAGGAATATGCAACTACGACGTCTCCGCTCAGTTGCCAGCTGACTTTACCCGAAGTCAAAGCCTTCTGAAGATCATGAATTCTTATAAGGTTAAGCCCCTGCCAGTTGAACTGGGTTTGGGTTAAAGAAGCATAATTCAAAACTAGAATTTCCTTCTGATCCAAGTCAGTTCAGTTGTATTAATCCATGGGTTCCTCCACCCAGAGAAAACCTTGCCTTAATTTGCTCCATGTATGTATGCTATGAAGCCATGACCATGACCATGACCATGACGAGAGGGTCAACAGTCAACTAGTCCAACACTTGAAACTCCTCCTTTTTGCGAACCAGTTGAACTGGGTTTGGGTTGGAAGATGATAAATCTGAACTTTCAACGGGTCAGATGTTGGTTTGCGAAATTTAGTCCAAATGGACTCATAATTGCACGGCGGTTGTTAAGAGAGAGCCACAGAATGGGGTTGCTAGCAAATGCAGAAGTCTTGAACTACAGAAACTGTTCAAATTTCGGTACCCTCGAGCAAATTAAGTAAAGACGACTCGAATCTGCCCATCCTATTTCCATCATTGACGATGGAGTTATGAACGTAGCCCACTCTCCCGCCATGACATTGATCAATTTGCAGAACATTATATGTTGATGAGGATTCGATGGATTATAGATGTAAACCAAATCTTCTGCCGCAGTCGATACCCCGATTGACGACAGAAACGAATAATCCTCATCCGTCAGCCTCTCGACCATCTTTCTTGGCATTTTCCCATGGCCTTACAATCGAAGGTCTCGCAGTCAACTTCCCAAAGCCTGATGCCTTCCATGATGACATGCACAGAGTCCTTAAAATCGAGGAGGTGGTTGGAGATCCGATAAGAATCATAAGAAAATTAGATAATAGGTGAAAGGCATTTTTGTCCTTTTATGTGATATTTAACTTCGTTAACGGTTTTGATGCATTTAGCCTTTTCCTTTAACAGGGTTTCACTGTTTCACATTATGGTCTGTTTGATTCGTAGTCCGAACTATAATTAAAATCCTCTCAAATTGGAATTGGAATCGGAATCGGAATCGGAACCATCAATTCTCATAGTCTGTTTGGTTTAGACAGGAACGAAAATGGAAATTGAAATCAGTAGAAATGGAATTTCATTCTTAAAGGAGGGGCAAGGAATAGCCATTCCCTCAAATGAGGGAATGTCATTCCAGTAAGAATGTGAGTGGAATTCCGATTACATCCAACCAAACAGTTAGAATCAGAATAGCCCATTTCCGATTCTAATTCCAGACCCTTATTCCCACAAACCAAACGAGACCTAATTGTTACTTCAAACATTTAGCCTTTGGTTCTTCTTCACTGTAGATTCTAGTTTGGAATACGAGGGGCGCAGACAATCCAAACAAAATAAGAATACCTTAACCTGGTATGCAGAACACAAAATCTAGACGTGGTGTATTTGATATAAACAAGGCTAAATCAGGAAAACCATGAGAATTTAATTGGAAATTCAAAATACCAACACTCATTAAAAATAGAGGCACAAGTAGGGCTGCAAACGGTTCAAATTCGAACGATTTCAATACCATTAAAGTTGATCCATTTATGATTGGAGTAAATCAGCAAATATTGATCCACACCCCTCTTTGATCCAATATAACCTGATTCAATTTGATTTAAATGTATACTCATATATGTTCGACATTTGTATTGTATTTATTAGTAAATTTGGTTATTTGAATGTTGTGGTTTTACTAAATTTCCATAGGTTAAAGATTCATTTAAATAATTTTCAATTAATTTTATTGTACGAAAAAGTGAAAATTCCCCATTAGTACCCTATACTTTGGGCTAGTGTCACTTTGGTCTATGAACTTTAAAATGCAATAATTCATTAATTGAATTTTCAAAATGTATCAATCCAGTATTTGCCATTAACCATCTGTTAAAAAAGTGTTAAGTAACATTTGAAAAAGACACAAATGTCCTTCAAATGTCATCGAAAAAACACAACATTTGGATGATTGATGAAGAAAATTAGATGACACTGCATTTTTTTTCGCTTCATGGGGCTACACAACAGGGGATAGTCCATCCCCTTTCCCTTACCCCCCCCCCCCCCAACCCCTGGTGGCAGCAGGATTTGATCCCAGGTCTCTACTCTAATGAGTCAGAAAACCTACCAATTGAACCACCATTAGTTGGCAGATGACACTGCATTTGTCTTTTTCAAACGTCATTTAACATTTGGTTAACAGCTAATTAATAGCAGGTACCGAATTGATACATTTTAAAAGTAAATGGCACTAGACACAAAATACAGGGTAATCAGAAATTTTCCCAAAAAAAGAAAAACAAATGCCTATACCCAGCCTTTCCAAAATTACTACCACATATAGCTTTGTCGTGTGAACAGTATCTGGATAAGTAGATAACCGGACGATGTCCTGCGAGTGCCTCCCGGCTGATTACTCTCCTTAAAAAACTCATGGCCGAATTTCAATTAGGCTCAGTTTGGGAGTATAAAATATAAATACATAAAAAGAAGAATATAAATATAAGGCATTGTATTCTATATTTGTATTTGTACTCATTTTAAATTGATATTACTATTTAAGTCTAAGTCTGAATTAGAGGTGTAAATCGGGTCGTGCCGTTCACGGCCTGACATGATGGTTCATGGGCCATAACGGGCATAACATGATTGTATGGGTCATGTTAGGCTTTGGGTTTCAGATTTGTGGGCCGGACCGGCACAATGACACAATCGTGTTGGACCGGCATGACCGACACGATTGAACGGGTCGTGCTGCCCATGGCCTATATGTCAGCACGACCCATATATATTTATATATTTTATATATTTATATATATAATATATAATATATTAATAAAATAAACAATTGTTTATATCAAAATTCATATAAAATAAAAATTTTAAGATTTTTTCAATTTTTTTAAATAAATAACTTTGGCCCGGCCTGACCTGTGACATGGCACGGCACAGCAGAGCACGGGCTTGGGCTATGAACCATGTCCAACTGACCTCCCAAAAAAGCACGACCCGCACCAGCACAACCCGTTTTACAGCACTAATCAGAGTTGCCGCACTAGAGAATATTGCTCGCAACTCGCAAGCAGCATCCAACACTCTACTCAAAGTGTTGAAATAAAACAGCAGGTGGGCTTAATTTGCCACCTGTAATTTGCATCCTAAAGTCTATGGGTAGATGAACCCATTGAAAAAAAAAAAAAAAAAAGAAAAAGAAAAGAAACAACCATCCATCATTCAATCCAACCATCCACAACATACCCCCCCCCCCCCCAAAGGAAGCCAAGATGGGATCTGGTTTGGGTCGAGTTTCAACCCAACCAATTCAACCTGTCAACCGTTTATGATCGATTTAGGGATGCAAGCCAGTAAAGCACAGAAAATGCAAAAAATATTAAAAAAAGAGAAAATTCCCAATCAATACCCTGTAATTTGGCTCGAGTGACAATTTAGTCTTCAAAACTTTAAAATACAACAAGCCAGTACCCAAGCTTTTAAAATGTGACAATCTAGTACCTGAACTTTCAAAATGTGACAATCCAGTACCTGTCGTTAACCATTCTGTTAATCAGCCGTTAAGTGATATTTGAAAAGTAAAAAATGCCCTTTGAATGCCATGTAATTCTCTTTATCAACCATCCAAACATTGACAAAAAACTGAATAGTCCCAAATCCTAGCCTCTTCTATTCAAAAAAGTTGGTGATTGTTTAGAAAAATCTAAAATTTGGGACTGTTCATTTTATTGTCAATGTTTGGATGATTGATAAAAAGAACTAAATGGCATTGTTAGGGCATTTTTGACTTTTCGGATATCACTTAACAGCTAATTAACGGACTAGTTAACGGCAGATGCTGGATTGTCACATTTTGAAAGTTCGGATACTGAATTATCGCATTTTAAAGTTCAGAATTTTCCTTTAAAAAATACATAAATGTAAAAAGTAATAGACATTACAAAAAAGTATTATAATGAGAATCCAACTACAGAGAAGAGAACTGAGTTGAGAAAAAAAAATGATCCTATAAAGATTCGTTGGAGAACCATGGGGTTGTCTTCAGTCAAGAGAACCCCTTTATTGAGATTTCTGCTACTGGAGTTTGATACAAGAAAGTGCTTTTTGAGAAAATATTTTGGTGGGAATGAACTAATTATGAGTGAGGTAAAGAAACATGGAAAATAAAATGAGAAGATGCCTTGATTCCTCCCTAAAAGTTCACCATGATCAAAAGATCTGGTTTTCCAAGTCAAATTTCAGTTTTCTTAAACCTAAAGCTTACCCATACAACCCAGCCCATCAATTAATGAATGGGTTAGACAATTTTGCCACCCCTAGAAGAAACTAGCTTAGATTAAAAACCTAAAATCAATTTCTTTGCAAAATGGACAATGTAACGTCGTAATTGATTGAAATCTTGATATATCCATTTTGTAAAAATTTCATTACAAAATGGATCATCAAATTGGGTCACTTTATTTTTATTTTTACTTTTGAAAGGAATCGAAATTATATTTAAGAAACAGATAAATGATCAACGCACTATCATAGGAATATACTCTTATTTTATATCTGTAAAGTTCAAACTAAGGTAATTTTCTTGACCCAGAACACCTTTTGCATCCTAGAAATAACAAAATTTGTTCAACAGCTGAAAGGCTAGGCCAAGACATTTTTTTACACACTAATGAAGCATATACAAATTTTCTTTATATATTTTCAGCAAGTGATAAATATAAAATAAGAGTATTCCTCAGATTAATAAATCAACAGAAAACACAAGCAAGAATCACTGGCCCAAAGATCCAAACCATTCTTCCATTCTTCGATTCTTCGCATCAGCAATTCAGCACTAGAGCTCACATGTTGCAAGAGCAGCACCCACCTTCCAAGGTTTACTTCTTTGGACAGGTCTCAATGGTTATCCAACCATTACAATCTTGGTTCTAGAGAGATACATCCGGCTCAGATAAACTTCCTGTAAAGTTCACTTTACAGCTTTCTGGAAATTGCAAACCTGCCTGATCGCAGCCTACTTTTGTGATACGTGGGCATGACCTCACATCAAGATACTCTAGGGACTTGCAGGACTCCAAGAGAATACTTATCCCCATAACTGAGATCTTTGGACAGTTGCTGACCTTTAAAACCTTCAAACTTGACTGAAATCCCCCACTCCCCAACCCATTGAAAATCATATCTGTCACTTCCTCACAACACCCAATGTCAAGGGCCTCTAGTTTCCTACACTGTGATAAAATGCAGCTCAGTGAAGCGTCAGAGAGATTCAAACACCAATCCATGCGCAAGTGTTTTAGACTATGACAAGAAGCGGCAAGTGATTTAATAGATTCATCTGAGATGTTCCTGCAACCACCAATTACCAAAGTTTCAAGATTTTTGCAGCACTGGGCCAATGAAAATATGGACTCATCTCCAACTTTATAACAATCCAACAACTTTAGAGTCCTCAGAGAAGAACAAGCCCTGGAAACACTTGAGACCCCAACATCCCCAACATTGCTGCATTTATTGACATCTAAAAACTTGATAGAACGGCACCCATCAACAAGACTTGTCAGTCCAGTGTCTGTTATGTTACTGCATCCCTCCAGTCCCAACTCTTCCAGGTTACAGCAGTGCTTTGAAAGGGTTTGCAATAGCCCATCGGTAATGAATCTGCAACCTATAAGATGTAAGCTTCTCAAGTTGCAACAACCCTCAGCAATGGCTTTCAGTCCCTTGTCTGTCAGCTTTCTACAATATGACACATCCAAAGACTGGAGATACGAAAGACCGTTACCAAGTGCCACCATTCCAGCATCTGTCACACCTATACACACAAGAAAAAAGAAAACAGGCATGTTTTGGCAAGAAAAAAGATATGGAAATGATGTCATGAAAGAAGCACAGTAAGTCGTTCAAAACACCTGATTGGAGACACACCAGAAACAGAACATAAAACGAAAAGTTTATTTCTTTGTTTGTGTAAAAGCATATGAGCAATGACAGCATAAGTGGCACGGAGTGTGATGTATTATGGACCTTTAAACCACGGAAGGACAAAATGCAAGTAAGGGTTCTGATAAATAGGACATTTCTTTCCGTCCTTTTGTGCTTTAAGGGCTCCCTGATGGATATGGAAAATGCACATTGATTTCTTCTACTTGGAGGCATCAATGCATCCATTCTACATATTGAAAATCTATGAACAATAGGAGCATTTACTATTCCTTAAACTTTCATGAGTATCCTTCTTAGAATAAATATTTTCACTACAGGTGCACATAGTCAACAAGAAGAAGACTTTGAACGTATCGGAACAGAAGTACATGTGAGCCTTTTTTTATCAGAAACGATAAGAAAATGTGAGCCTTTTAAAAATCACTCAGCTTGGAAGTGAAGGCCTTCTTAATAAATTCTTGTTAAATTTTTCCAAGGATGGCATAACCACTCAACTAATTTAGTTCTATTCTATGTGGGAGAAGCTAACCCACCATTGCTATTTCAAGCAGTTAGAAGGATCTAAAAAAGGTGAAACCTGGAGGAGTAAATAACTTGAAATACAAGGGAAAGAAAGGAACAGAATACTGGATGATAACCACATGACTAGCATGTATCATCCGATGTCTGAAAAGAACCCACAGAAAGAAAAACAGAACCACTCAATCTAATTACGCACTGAACCCTTTCTTCAAAGGAAAGAACACAAAGCCAGCGGAGCCACACAGCTACATAGACCACCAATCCATCAGAAAATATAACTTATTAAGATATCCAAGCGAGTAAAAAGCAAACATTTAGGTTCTACTGCAAATTAGTCATGAATCAGATGGGATCATACCCTTTATAAAGAGTGAGTGCTACCGAATTTTCTTTCCAGAATTACTCTATTTGTTTAACACAATTATACCCAAAAAGAAATTCACTGCGAACCCAAATAAACTAATGAGAAGAAGGTAGCCCCAGTCTGACAAACACAAGTTATTGATTCCCAATGGTACAAAGGGCATCTAACTGAATTAAACATGAAACCCACCAAAAGACATCACAAAAGCCAAATTCTTTCTATGAAATTAAAGCAAAAGTAGAATTGAATTTTCTAATTACAACCAAAATATACAAGTTTAAATATTTCAACGTGGGGGAAAACGTTAACAAAGAAAAGGTCTCTCGATGACCAGAAGAATAGCTATAAAACAGTTGCTACCCTCAATGGATCAAAAGAAAAAGCTCTGAATTTACCTTTGCAGTTCCGTAGACTGAGAATCTTCAGACAACCAAAGCCAGAGGCAATAACAGAGAGATCAGAATCTGTAACACCGGGATAAAAGGATCTTGAAATTGACTGAGAGAGATCGAGTTCCACAAGCCGAGTGAACCTAGCAGCCATTTTCTTAAGCATCAAGGGCCCCGCTCGAGCGCAAAGCTTCCTCCTTTCCGTGCTCTGCAAATGCAACCATCGCTTACAGACCATCCCAAACCCCTCCTTATCCTTATCGTCCTCTAACCTTGCCAAAATCGCTCGGAGTTCGTCATCGGTTAGAGCATCGTTGATGCAAACTCTAGTTTCGTTAATGGGGCTCTCCCTTTTCGTCATTTCTGAAATCACCAGAGAGATTTCAGAAATCCTAACACTTATGAGCTCTTTCCTGCCTGCATCTGATTCAAAGAAGCCTAGACGAAGAGGTCTAGGGTTAACCGAAACCCTAAACTGCTCATCTTCTGGTTCAAGTTCCTCCCCGTGTTTCGTCTGGAGTCACCAAACTAGAGTCAATCTGTCAGAGTATTTATTATTCACAGAGTTGTGATCCAACGAGCGCTTTCTCGCTGGTGAAAAGCTGAGCCTCACATACACATCCATCGTGCTTTGGGAACATCTCCCGTGAATAACAATTTATAAGTACGGAAGATGTTCACAATGCATGGTACGATGTGTGTATGTGAGGCGCTCTGTGTGAGGAGCAGATGCGGCTCCCTACCGTACAAAGGCCACAATTTTGTCACAACTTTTTGGAACTCATGACTTACTAGATGAGAGCGCTCTCGTTGGAAGGATCTGCCGAGTTGGCAAGTTGTGTTTCTTCCTTATAGAACAAGGACAGTCGAGCTAGGATTAGAATCTTCTGGCTCTGAAACAACTCCCTGATTTAGTGGATTGATACGGTACTTTGCATCTTATCAATGCTGAAGCGTAGGAATCCAGATCCTATAATGGTAACGTGAGGAGTACAGCTAATTACGTGGGCCTGAAAGACAGTATCAGACATACGGGGGCAAAGTTGCACAATACTTGTGCCGCCCCCGCATATTCCAACTGTCTATTGTAAATATATCTAGATCTCCTACCCATTATCCATTATTTCGGAAGATATTCCCAATGCACGTTGAGATTTGCATGTGAAGCGTTAATGGAGCGCATATGCTATTTTGGACAAAACGCCAATCATTTTCATGGTGTTTGAAAGCTTTGGTGTTTTTTGGGATCCATTTTCAAGAAAAAAAGCCCATATTTCTATGATCCGATTTTCACAAAAAAATGATTCTGATATGTAGGCATTGAGTAACATTATACTGTTTGGTAAGGTGATTTTCATTACCGTTTTTCATGTATGTATTGATAGGTAAGTACCACATAGGTTATACATCAGTTAACCATTGGAGGAAACGGTTAATCGTTGGAGGTAAGCACCAAATTGCTTGTATGCAATTTGGCGTTTTATGCATCAGTGGGGTCCCAATTTTCAAGACATGCCTGATTTTTTAATAATCGGCTAAACCAAACAATGAGATACATGGGCGTTTGTTGAAATGCCTGTGGATTCGATGTGGCACCATTTTTTTTTTTTTTTTTGAAAAACAGCCACGGTTCCAAATATCCCCTTTATCCTTCGAAAAAGATAAGCCTAATATAGATTTCTGAATTTCCCTACAAATCTATAAACATTCAAAAGGTCAAAAACCCACACTCTATACACCCATACCCACCTGTAAATTGGCATCAACTCCAAACTAGTACCTACCCCAACTGTACTTTAAACCTATGAATTCTGACCCAGGGCTGAACAGTCATTCTCCCTTTATCCTTTGGGTGACTGGAAAGTATGTATAGAGCTTTAGATTGTATGCAATATGCTTTTGAAAACCAGTACTGCTACAGTGATAATCCTAATTATATTTTGAAAACCAAACTATAAACAAAACCATCTTAACCACTGATTTTCGGGGTCAAATGACCCACCCATCGTTCATTCATCTATATTTTCAAAACCATGGTCCGAATTACAAAACTTGGAACTAATTCTGCACATCTACTAATTACATTAAATACATAATTATTGTTCATTAGCTCATACATATTTCATATGGTATATTTATCATTAAAGACTCCAACAACATTAAGATTCAACTGCGATATGACATGTATGACTTTATTATTGGTTTTAAGTATGATTTTGAAAAATGGATCTAATCAAATGGTCGAACCGTTTAATTTAAGAATCAGTGGAGTGAGCCGGATCGATTTTTAAAACCATGATTCTAAACCGTTTGCTTCACAATAAAATTCATGCACCCCTAATTTATATAAGCATATTCCATCAACTCATCAACTCAACGAGTGCTGCGATATGATCCCCTACAACAAAGGACCGTAACATACACACTTTGGTCAGTTAATTGGCCTACTTGTGGCTTGTGCGCCTGAACGACTTGTCAGGTGCCTGCACAAGCTAGGTTGCAATGCTGGCCTCACATAGTCACATGTGCACATATTCATGGCTGGCCCACTTGCCAGCAATGTCTGTAGGCTGCAAGGTTCCACCTAAGGTGCAATAAGATTCAAAAGAAGGTCAAATCACATGCAGCACTAGGTGCAACCTCAATGCAGCTTGAGGTATAAGCCAAATATATGGGTTGGGAATCAATTTGGGTTTGACCTATAATGGTATCTCCTCAAAGCAAAAAACGAGTAAAAACTCTTAAGAGCACAAGCATTCATACATTCGGAACATCTTCCTATGAATTTAACATGCATGTTCGAAAAATATTCCTAATATGCAGTTGGATGACACTTTTTAAGAGTTTTTGCTTTTATGAGATTTGGGCTCTTACTCTAATAGCGATCTTTTTGTTCACTTGTTTTTTTTTTTTTATTTTATGTTCTAGAAAGGGTCCATTTAGGCCCCATTTGGCATCAATTCTAGGGATTTTAATTCTTAGAATCCTTTCAAAATCAAAATTTCTTGGATTTAGAATCTAAATGATCTATTCTCATAGTCTGTTTGGTTCAGACAGAAATTAGAATCGGGATTGGAATGAGTTGAAATGAGATTTCATTCCCAAGGAGAAGGGGAGGGAATGGTCATTCTCTCAAATGAGAGATTGCCATACCAACAAGAATGAAAATGAAAATGAGATTCTGATTCTATCCAACCAAACAGTTGGATGGTCATTCCAGTTCCAATTCTAGACTTCTACTCTCATAAACCAAACAGGCCCTTAGTTTATCGGGCCCAAACTTGATGGGGTGGTAGGGGATCATGAACCACTTTCCAGCAGCTGAAAAGCCATTGGAATTCAGTAGTAACCAGCCAAAAGCATTAAAAACTAATAGAAATTTTTTTGTAGTTATATAAACTTGCAGGAGCATTTCTGTTCACTTTTTTACTTCTTTGGCTGCGTTTGGTTGCAGTTCAAATCTGTATCAGATATAAATTTTGCACCCAGTTTTGCATCTATTTGTTTTGTAATTATGATTTATACTTTTATTAAATACAAAATTTTACTTTTTTGTCTCATTTACCCTACTAGGAGTGTACATTTTGCATCTCCAAGATTGATGTAAAATTTGTACCACCTTCCTTCTACCTCAAGTCCCTTTCATATAAAGTTTGGAACCACATTATCTTGCTTCTTTCCTCACTCCCAACAAATAACCCTTCTACCTACATTTTTTACATGTAAAGTGGGGCCATAGCAATCTACTTCCTACCTTTCGCAAACAAACAAGACATCGCAACCAAAAGCAGCCTTTGGTATATATATTTTCAAGGAATATATCGCATGTGAAGCCCATTGACCAAAACGCAGAGAGACTGCAGTTCCACGCCTTCTCTGATACCTTAGCACTCAAAAAATGATAATAAAAAATGCAATAAACTTAAGAAGCTATCATTAGACAAGTTTGTAAGCAAAGGAGTTTTAAGAAAAACAATTGGGCATGGATAGGGATGTCAATGGACTGGTTTTGGATTGGATCCTGTCAAAATCAAAATCAATTTGAATGGATTGGACAGATCAATAAGACATATTGAATTGGACTAGTCCGGTCCAAAGTATTTATTGGATTAGATTAGACCTAGCCCATTCATAATGAATTTATAATGGATTGGGTTGGATTGAACCAATATCCGATCCACTGATAGAAGATAATACAGGTGCCAATGGACCAAATTTGGGTTGGAACCAATTTGAATAGATTAAATGGTCCAGACATTCAATTGAACTGATCCAAAGTATTCATTGGATTGGATTGGACCTAGCCCATCTGTAATGGACTCATATTGGATCAGATTGGATTGGACAAAATCCAGTCAAATTGACACCCCTAGGCATGGATCTTCTCCTCTCTTCTCTTTTATGCAAAGCTACACCAAAAACATTTGGTCTTTTGATTAAAGGTGAAAGTTTCAATGTTTACTATGCTTAGAAGCTTATTTATACAATTCATATTCAGAATATTTTAATCACTTTGTTTAATTAAGATTAATACTTTGAAGAAAAAATAAAACCTTTAAGACCATCTGAAGAAACTCTAACATTGCTAGCAATAGCATTAGCCATAAGGACCATGCATTGTCTTGCTTATACCAAAACACCAATGCAATATTGACCCCTCTTCCTCTTTTTCTCCTAAACATCTACACATAACCAAATTATGTTTCTATAGGTTTCTTTTCACTTTTCTTTTCCTTAGAACATGTTTGGAAGTACTTAAGTTAAGAATAAGTGCTTAAAAACAAGTGCTTATTTGCATTTGGCACCCAACTTATTTCATATTGGACGTTTGGTAGTCTTTTTCTCTAATAAGCACTTAAATAAGCATTTGTGACTATTTTGTCCTTTATTTTCTTTCAAAATTTTAAAATATACTCTTTGAAAGCACTTTTATAAAATTATAAAAGTACTTTTGCAAAAGCACTTTCTTAAAAGTACTTTCATAAAAGTATTTTCGTAAAAGTGTTTTCATAAAAGTGTTTTTATAAAAGTACTTTCATAAAAGTGTTTTTATAAAATTACTTTCATAAAAGTTCTTTTACGAAAATACTTTATAAAAGAACTTTTGTGAAAGTACTTTTCTAAGATTCAACTAGGGATAATTTTGGAAGAAAAAAATTAAAATTTAATAACTGCTTATTGTATAAGCACTTAAAAAAAGCTAGAAATTTAGGCTTAAAAATTAACCCTTATCTTTAAAATAAGCACTCAATTCGAACTTATTTCCCAAATATCAATAAGTGCTTAATGGCCCAAAATAAGCACTTATTTTTTAAGCACTCCCAAACATGGCCTTAGATTGGTTGCACTAGTACCACAAATTTCATTTGCATTACCATAAATGCATGGCATTCAAATAGGTTGTGTTTGAGATTCTGGTATACTTATTTCTTTAGATTTGACTATCTTATTTATTTGTGAGAAATAATTGTCCCCATCTTATATGTAAGAGAATGGAGGTAGGGAGAGGTTATCTATAATATCTATAATCTATACTACTTTAAAAAGCAC